GTGCGACGCCCGGCGGGGCGGAAGAGGCGGCGCTCGGGCCCGCAGCCATCTTGCCTGCCGCGGCCTTCGGCCACACGGGGGCGTCTGGCGTCACCCAGCACCCCGGGAAGGGGCCTCCCAGGCTGGACTGCGTCCCTGGCACTAGAGCTGGGGGTGTAGCCTCCCCCCCCCCCCGGCGGGGGGGGAAAATAGGGCTTCCAGGAGGGGGAGCCGTCTAGATGGGGCTGTGTAGGATGAAGGCCAGCTCCCAGTTCTTCAGACAAAGGGCATAGGAAAGGCACACGATGTTCCAGAAAGCGGGTGTATGCCAAGTCTGCGGAAAGTCACTGAGAGGCCGGAATAAGGACTTTTGCCTTGGCGGGGGCGGGGGGGGGGCAGTGGAGAGAGTTGGCAGGATTCTTGGCAGGATAGATGTAAATATGGGTCACAAACAGCTCTAGTGTTTTGGCTGACTCTGGTCAACTGGGGGGGGGGGGAGGATGGATACTCAGAGAATGTTCTGGAAGCTTGTATATCAGGCCGCTGCCTGTGCCATGTAGCCTATCTTTTCCACTCCTTCAGGAACCTGCCCAGCACTTGGGCCAGCAAGTGTTAGGTCTTCACAGGATCTGCCTGTGCAGGCTCCTCACTACTTCACCAACACATTTGTCTTTTATTTGAAAATATTTTTAACGTACTTTATTATTTTTATGTGTATGAATGTATTGCGTGCATATATGTAAGTGCATCCATGTTGTGCAATGCCTGTGGAAGTCAAAAGAGGGCATCAGAAGCCCTGGAATTGGAATTACGATGCTTGTTAGCCATGTGGATACTGGCAATTGAACCCAGGTCCTCTGCAACAGCAGGTAGTGCTCAGCCGCTAGGCCATCTCTCCAGCCCCACATTTATGTCTTTTAACAGAGCTTTTCTCCATCCTCATATGCATGATGTTCAGCTCTTGCTGTCCGGTTCCTTTTTTTCTGTCACACCTCTGGCTTAGTTTTTACTTCTTCTGAGAACACCAGGGCCTAGCAGCTTCTCCTACCCACTTCTGAAGCAGGTGTCAGTGACACCACCTGTTGGGACAGCTTAGCCACAAGTCTCTGGCTCACTCCTGAATGCTGTCACTCATGGATTTCCTTTGCTTCTCTGGCCACTCCTGTAGACACTCAGTAGACACAACTTTCCTATGGTCTTGGTATACTCTCCGAAGTCTCCTTCCTCCCCATGGGCCCACTACTCCTGCCATTAACTGTTACCACTTACCTCCATGAGACTGCCCAGATGGTCTTCCTTAGGCACAAATCACCTAAGCACTTTCTGCTAGAAGACCTTCCCAAGGTTACAAAGCCCTTCGCATGGACTCCCAGCTCTTTAGGGCTGTTCTGAAGGTGGTATAGCCTCTGCCCAACCACCTCAAATCTAGCTATTAAGAACTTATAGGATCTTAAAATACACCTAGCATGCCGTCCTCTGAAGCCGTGTTTGTGGTTATCTGATAAGGCTAAGCATACACTGCTGTATGGAAAGCTTCCTAAGTCCCACCTTACCTCTTCTCTCATGCACTGCTTGAATTTAATGGAATTCAGTTCCTCTGAACTTGTCTGACTTCTCACTGCCTGGGGAGGATACACAGGCAGCAACTGGACCTTCCTGACTTTATCCAGCTGGATGCATGCTGGGAAAGCAACAGCTCTTCTTCCCTGACAACAGGTTCCCCCCAGTCTCTTGTCCTGTGTATTTTAAGTGTAAATAGCTTCCTCTAACTAGCCTGTCCTCTCAGGTACTTAAGGGATGTACCTAAGATCCGTGACTGACTGGCTCAAGCTGGCGCCCTCTTCCTTGAAACCACAGCCATTGTGGCCATTCTCGAAATGAGGCCAAACTGGGTGTGGTGGTGCATGCTTGTAATCCCAGCACTCTGGAGGCAGAGGCAGGAAGGTCACAAGTTCAAGGCCAGCTTGGTCTAAAATGCATATTGAGTTCCAGGCCACACAGTGAGTCCCTGTCACAAGGAAGCAAGAGAGCAAGCGAACAAACAAAGCTGGGTAAGGTGGTTCACACCTGTAATCCCAGCATTTGGGAAGCTGAGGCAGATGAACCTACATGCTGAGTTCCAGGCCAGCCTGGACTAGTGAGACCTTGCTTCAAAAAACCCAAAACAAAACAACCATGAGCTCAACCATGCCCTGTGCCCCCAGTTCCTTCTCATGGGACAGTCTTTATTGATGTGTGCCAAGTCCAGTATTCAAAATTATCAGGTGCACCATGCTAAGCTCTACAGAGCAGGGATTTGGTCCTCTTCATACACTGGGGAACATCAGTGTGTGGGTACAGGCCTGCCACATAGTACACATACCATGTCTACAAGTTGAATTTTCAACCCTTTTATTTAATGTTCAGGGCTAGGACTCCAAGGTAGCTTCCAGTAAGTGTGCCCATATTTGGATGTGGCATGCCACTGTCCTCTCCTCCAACCCAGATGAGCCCAATGAGGACAGATGGGACATGAGAGTGAGGGCATTCTCTTACAGGAAGTCAGTGACAAGAAGACTCCATTTGGGCAGTTCCTCAGCATGCCCTTGCCTGATGAGGAAGCAAGTTAGCCACCTGCAGAAGTTACACTAAGGGCCACAGGAGGTACCCCTGCCCCACTAGTCAAGAAGAGGGAAGTTGTGCCCCAGGAGCAATCACATCAGGCCTTTCTGCCACATGCCGGTTCAGTGTGCCTAGAAAGCACTGACGTAGAGCAAGCCAAGGAGGACGCCGGGGAAGACAGCATATGAAGCTGACTTCCCTTCCTTCCTATGCCAGTCCTGAGAGTGGCTATCAGTGTTCTCAGACAGCTGGATCAAGTGAGCAAATGCAGCACCATGCTGTCAGGTGAGCTGGAGGGGACTGCTGACTTACAATGAAAGCCCAGACCTTGAGTCACTTTCACAGAGAGATTTATCGAGAATGCTAACAGCACAGGATACAGTACTTCCCAACAAAAGGTGCAAACGCGTCACTTAGAAAGGCATGCTGAGTATTCTTTGCTTTCACATGTATTAAAAAACTTACAAAAATAAAATAAAACTGCGTGCTGCCCATCTTTTCAAATAGTAAAAGAACCTTATGAAAAACCACTTGATTTTACAACAAAAGACACAAACGGACATTTTTATGTAAATTTATAAGGCAAACTCTTTATATAATAAATAGGTTACAGGGATTCAGTGGGGGGGTGTTTTTGAAACGTATACAGGTACATTCAGACAGGTTTACTGAAATGGTACAAATTTCCTTAATAAATTGCCTTTTGTTTTTAAATATATCAGTGCTTTCAGTCATTTGGCTATACACAAAGAACCTTTTTGAACACTACAAAAAAGCAATCAATATTTTGTTTTTAAAACGACCTACTTATTTTCTAAAGTAATTGTCCCAAAACACAAAAACTGAAGGTGAATGCGACAGAGGGCTTTTCAAGACCCCTCCAGCTAAGTCTGTCCTGGGTCTCTCTCTGTGCCCTGTGTGCCCACTCCTAGCTTCAATTGCGCTTTGAGCTGGAGCCAGCTTCCTTCTGTACAGGGTGGCCTGTCACAGTTCCACAGATATGGGCCTTCAGACTGGCAGAGGAGAGCATGACTTGGATCCAGAAGGGGCATACACAAACCCTGTCTGGTCCTTCCAGCTACTAAATGCCATGGGCAAATGGTTACTATAGGCAACACTGTCCTCACCTGAGGAACTAGGGGAGCACAGGTCTATTCCTCTTCTATGAGCCCAGAACAATCTGTAATGAAGATAATGGCTTCACTGAGGATGTTTGCCATGGAAAGGGAAGGGGATGTCTCATGTCCAAATTTTGGTGGAAATCAGAGGATAGCGAGGGAGGATAACCCTCCTCTTCTGCCATCATTCTATTCTCCACGGCTGGTGGGGAATATATATCAGATTAGTGCTATGCACTTGGGGACAACGTGGGGTGTGATATAAGTGTCCTGACTGGTCATGCCCCCAGAGCATGCCTTGGAGACAAGAATGCCCACTGCCTGTCCTTGTCTAGGAAGAGCTGTGTTAGGTAGGGAGGGGCCAATTCACTTTCTCCTTGACCTTTGCCAACAGCGCAGCAGCATCCAACTACAAGCTCAGGCCCAACCTGTCCCTACTTAGTCAAGTCAGCTCTACTCGCCCCGCCCCCTCCTTGAAGGAACTGACCTTGTCTTTTCTCCCCCCTCCTAATTTTTTGTCCTTTTGAGACAGGGTCTCCCTGTAGCCCCAGCTGGCCTGGAACTCACTATGCAGATCAGGGCAGTGTCAAACTCAGAGATCCGCCTGCCTCTGCCTCCCAAGTGTTGGGACTAAAGACCTTGTCTTTTCTTAAGAATAACAACCATAGTAATAATTAGGGAAGGGGGCCACAAAAGAATTCACAGCATGGAAGAAAAGCTGGTTTTGTTCTGACTTTGAAAATGGCAACACATCAGCTTCAGTCTCTTGGCTTGGAATGAACTCCAGTGCTTAACTTGTGGGTGGTTTCTGGCTAATCTGGGCAGGGGTCGTCTCTTCAGAGTGCCCCTCTTGTCTTCGTCACCATTCCCCTCCCTTCAAATGCTTTGTTTGCAACGAAAAGGTGTCTACAAGTATTTGTCTCTGGAACAATTACTTTAAACATGATTACAATACAGACTTCAGTTCAAACACAGAAGAGATTTACTTAGCAAAGTTCCTTTCACCCACCAAAAATTACACAAAATATAAGCCTCAACACCACAGTTAAGAGGACCAGTAGAGAACCTCATGTTTGGAACACAAAAGGAAGAATAAAACCAAACCAAACCCAAACAGAAAAACCCCAGAAAGACAAGGAAAGGGTGAGGAAGGAAGGGGGAAGGAGAGCAAACACAGCACACGTTACAGTGTCCAGGTACACGGGGAGCCCAGCACAAG